CGACAGCGAGAGATATGGACGTCGAACGAGTGGTGTCACACGCCCGCCGCAGCCGCGTCCACCACAACCACCACCCGGTGTAAGCCACTTGGCCGCAACCCTTACTCCGCCTAACCCTCCCGCCCCCCCCTCACGCCTCACGCCTTGTGCTCTCCTCACTCGTCTCCTCATCCACGCCCCCCACCCCCCCTCGATCAAGTCTCCTCTACATCTCATCCGAGTGCATACCGTAGACTTCTCCTCTCCTCTTCTCCCCCTCCCCCTTATCCCCTCTCTCCCCTCCCCCCTCTCCCATCCAAAACCACTCTCCGACGCGTTCAACTGCCTCGACATCCTCTCTGGAAGGAACACGATAAGGAACAGAAAGAAGGAAAAAAAAAAAAAGGAAACTGCTGATCAGTTCTACCATTGCTTTAAGGAGACCGACGCTGCCTCACGCCCGATTGCCGCCCGTTTGCACGCTCGGACTGCGCCCATTGCCATCTCGAGATCTCAAGTGACGCAAAATTGCCCCTCGCAAAGTAAAATTCATAAATATATAGACAATAAAGTCCCCTGCGTGGTTCCTGTGCGTCAGGTCCCTTCCCTACTACAGCACACTTGGTCGAGCAAGGTAGACCGGATCGTGTTCAAGGGAAGAGCTTCGTCATTTCCTTAAAAAAGAAACCAAAAGCTAAATATAAGAAGGAAAAGGGGAATTCCAAGAAGAAGAAGAAGGACCAGTGTGTTTCGGATTCCTGAAACCCTAAGGAAAAGACAGTGTGTGGGTGCAACGACTTCGTTAACGATCATTGGAGAGGACGACTGAACGACTGACAGGTGAACTAGCGAGCCAGCCACCCAGCGCGCCCTTCCAACGAGCGGAGAGGGACCAAGAGCCACGCCCCCCCTCCTCCCCCTACGCTCCGCCCCCTTTTGTTCTTGCTCCCAACCCCCCTTGCACTTCCCCCTCCTTCAACCCCCCTCCCCGCTCCTTCTCCCTTTTTACCCCCCTCCTTCCCCTTCCCCCTCTTTTTCCCCTCCCTCTTCTTCTCTGCCTCCTCTTCCCCTCCTGCCCCTCTCCCCCTTTAGCTCCCCAAGGTCATTCGCGCAATGCACGCCTGACTGACACCACCTTGGCGCTGACCTTCTCCTTCGGCAGCAGTAGTGAACTGAAGGCACCAGAAGCAGGCAGCAGGAGAGCAAAACAGCAGCAGCAGCAGCATCCGACTCCTCCGACGCCGAACCCCCCGAGTCCTCCGTCCCCCTTCGACATCTTATACTGTCCCCGTCCGCGCCCTGGGAGGAACGCCACTGCCGAACCCGCACGTCGTTTCCTCTTTGTCATCACTGTCCGAATTACCGATCACTATTCGGACAACCAATCGCTGTCCGAATAACTCATCGCTATCCGAACAACCGGTCGCTGTCCGAATAACCCATCGCTATCCGAAAAACCAATCTCTGTCCGAACTCCCGATCACTATCCGAACAACAAATCGCAGTTCGAATTACCAATCGTTATCCGACTTACATACCGAACACTATAAAAAAAAAAGGATTTTAATTCGGATATCCTGAAATCCTGAACACACCCTCGTGTCCACTAACCTCAAGACCGAAATCCACGCCCGACCCGCACCGCGCCCACCCAATACGTACGCCCGGCAGAACGTATACGCACACCCGGCACCAAGGAAGTACGAACGGACGGGAAATCTCTGTCCCGCGCCGTTCTTATTGACCGCTCGCCCGCCACAATCGGAATAAGTCATCATCATAATAATCGCGGCAACTACCAATACTCGCTGGCCTTCTAGAGAACCCCAGTGGCTGAATGAACTCTTAACTCGGTCGCTCACTCTGGCCCGAGTCGGCACCGCGAGGAGGCAGGCTGGGCGGGTGTCTGTGCACCACACGCGAACGAAAGTACAGAAAACAAGTGTTAATTAATCGCACAATTCTCCGGAAAAAAATCGGCCTTCTGCGGAGGGTCAAGGTTGCGTGTGTGTGTGTTTGTGCGTGCGTTCGTTTAGTGCCTACTCGCCTTTCGGACCTTGCATTCTCGCGACAGAAATTTACGCATTAAATATCTAAAAAAAATATATATATATATACATATAACAAAACAAAAACTATATATAAAAAATACGAAAGCCACAGAAGACGCACGTAGTGAAAGAAAACGAAAGAAAAGAAAATAGACAAAATTCACCACCACATTTCCGGAATCGAACCAGCGTTCCCGCCACACACACATAAAAAAAAAAAAAAACAGAAACAGCCGTGCTCGATCCGACACACTTACCACAAGTGTTCGTCGGGAATACAAGCGAAGAATTACGCACACAAACCATCCCCCACTAGAGATAAAATAGAAGAAAAAAACTAATAGGACCAAAAAGGGGAATCCTACGGGAGTGCATCCTATCTCTCTATCCTCCTATCCATGGACAAGGACGTCGGAATGAATATCCTAAGTTACTATCCCACGTACACCAAACTCCCGACTTGTGGCGAG